GGATCAGCCTGCTGTAACGAAGGCTCAACCTGCAGTAGTGGAGGAGGGTCGGGTAACTCCCTTCTCTCCTCTCGCCCTTGCTGGGCAGCTATGAACCCTTCCATCATCTCAAATAATCTGTCTACATCCTCCCGAAGTGAATTATCTCGGGCTGCTCGGTTTAGTGGGGGTCTTCCTCTCCTCATTTTCTTGCACCTGCATTTCATAAGGAATGGTTGAGTAACGATTTATCGGTGAGTATTTCTCTAAGCATTATTGTGTAAGAGATGGGTCCGAGGAACGCGGCTTTGATAACAACTGTAACGGCCCCGAAATTTAAATGAAGATGTATGTATTAAAAATCTTAAATGCGGAAGCGTAATAAAAATTTTGATTAACATCCCTTACATAATAACCAAAAACGTACTCAAAATATGAAAGAATAAGCTAATTAAAGTGATACTTGAAATAAAAACTATAAATAGAGCTATAAGGTCCTTAGGCGTCTAACTCGCCGTCTTCCTGCGAAACGGGCTCGGGAACCACGTTTTCCTGATATGAAATGGTTAAGTAAGGAATGAGCTACACTAGCCCAGTAAAGACATCACATTATCTCACAGCCACAGAAGTAAAAGTCGGTAGAAAACAAAAACGACCAATTGAGCATAATTTATAACAAACTCATTTATTAATATAAAAACCTTTTCTGTCCACTTACCTCAGTGAGATTCATGAAAATAACATATGAAAACAATAAAATTATAACCATCATAAAATCATATCGACCTTGTAACAGAACACATGTCATACTTTTGCACTTCGATAATTAGACAATAAATTCTTTCTTTTACCAGCCTACTAGTATCCATGGAGATCCATAGGGGGTCCCCGCTACACGTGAACCAGTACCATTAATAACCTGATTCCATGGCCGTCCCCATACCCCGTCCGGTATGGGCGCCAAAACACATAAGGTCTCCACACCCCGTCCGGTATGAGAGACCACGTTCCAGGTAGGGTTCCCTACGAACCCGGTCTGTCCACCATCTCCTAGGATATCTAGTCAGGCTGTCCACATTATTCACATATCAATTCACATAACCTTTTTGCCCTTTTTCTTGGTCTCAATCATCCAATCATACACAAACATGTAAACCAGTCATTGACACCAAATAAGACAACACCGTATCGGGTTAACCATAATACCAACCATAATAAAAGAAACCATGATTCATGCATACGAGACTATAAAATAAATACATCAAATATCATACTGCATTTAATACTGAAAAATAGATCATATAACAACTGACCAACAATGTACTAGATTCAGGCTCCATTGGCAACCTCAATCAATTATACATCTATAAAGTCTCAAAATACCTTTTAATTATTTATTAAGCTTTAATACCGTGATAGGAAATAAGGTGAGGGATCCTTACTTGTTTCGGGGTCTGAAATCGACTCTACAGTGCGTCTACAGGCTGTCCCTAATTTTTCTGAATTTTTCTCCGGAAAACTGAAACTCACTACCGGTACCTGCACGTGTCCCAAAAAAATCCCAAATCAGACCTAGGGTCCCTTTCGGCCAATATTGGAAATCTGGCACGGCGGCTCCGTCGTGCCCCGGTGACGGTGCCACTGCCTGCGGCGGTGATCCACCTCGGGTTGGCCATTTTCGGCCGAATTCGGCCAAACTTGCATTGGTCCCTGTGATAAAACAACCCTAGGGCCCTCGGTGGTCCAAAAAATCACGAAAAACTGAGACTTACCGGCGGCGGTGCTCTCGGGTGCGGCGGCTTCTTCGGCGTGAGTCGCATTTTGATGTTTTACTCCGGTCAACCTGTAGAGAAAAGAACGGTGATCACAGTCCATCGCGATGCGATCTGGGCCGTCCGTGCCTGATTGAATCTGGGTCATCCGTACGCGTGAGATCTGGGCTGTCTGTACGCGCGGGAACGGATCTGGACCGTCCGATCGCGCGCACGCGGATTGCCCACGTGGCCCGTCCCGTGTCAGCGTTCCCTTGCCACGCGGCGTGTCCTGGTTGGCCGTGGCTGCTGACGTGGCACAACTTTTTCAAATTACGTTTTGACCATCGGTTTCCGATTTTCTTTTCAAAAATATCCCCAGAATCAAAATTTTCACCCTTTTTTCTCAAAATCAATTTCAATTAAATTCAAAAAATAATTTTACCCTATTTTTTCATTATTATTATTTTTATTTTTATTAAATTAAATTAAATTAAATTGAATTAAAATCTTATAAATTAAATATATAAAAAATTAAACAAAATTTTAAATACAAAAATAAAAATAATAATTTGGGTGTTATAGTCCGTAACATTCTGTTAATCAAAGAGTTGAACGATAAAAGTTAGTTTTGATATGGATACGCATAAAGTGTTCATATTTTCGAATAATTTTAATTTGAGAACATGCTGTCAAATATGTTTTAGAATTAATTTTTGACATGTAATATAATTTTTAAGCACAAATAAATCAGATTAAATTATTTTTTTTTCTTTCACTACGTGTTATGTACATATTACAATACTTCACCGAAATCAAATGAGATTACTAAATTTAGGTTAAAAAATTATTGAATTAACAAAATTTAAATAGAATGAGTTAAATATTTATAATTTAATGTTATTTGGTAATTAAATATCCTCTGGAAGAATATAATATGTTTAAAAAATTCTATTAACTTTTGGGTTTCTCCATTATAATTTTACCAATTCATAATGAGTACTATCTAAAAGCATGGCTTGAGACAAAATAAAACAGAGCAGATGCATATGTAGAGCCAAATGAACCATGGGAGACTATAGATTATGATTTACAAAGTCAACATAACTGTTAACTCTAGTTAATCACCAGTTTGTTCTTTTGGATTGAGAAGAATAAGCAAAAGCTTTACTTAATATGCATTCATAAGATAGCCATCTGAAGTGGTGGCGCAGGGGAAGAAGAAGCCGAAGAAGAAAAAGAACAGTAAAATTACATTTTTTTTATTTTTTCTTCTTCAACTTTTATTAAAAATAATAAAAAATTAAGTTTTTTACGCAATAATACAATATGTACACGAATACTAATCCAATTACAATACGACACGTTTCATGTGTAGTACGATTTGGAGAAAATAAAAGTGTATGGGAAGATCATTTTTGTTCTCTTGAAACTGTGGAAGCAGAAGATTGAAATGGAACAGAATCTAAATGCAGCTTCGTTTATTATTCCAGAGATGAGTGTGGGCTCAAATGGCTACCGAATGCCAGTTTTGGGGATGGGCACGGCGGCTTCTCCTGCTCCCGAACCAGAGGCTCTGAAACTGGCTATTCTCCAAGCTATAAAGCTCGGTTACAGACATTCGATACAGCTTCCAGGTATCACAACGAGCAGCCCATCGGCGAAGCCATTTTCGAAGCGCTTTCCCGTGGATTTATCAGATCTAGAGAGGAGCTTTTCATCACTTCAAAGCTATGGTGCAGCGATGCTCATCAAGGCTTCGTTGTTCCTGCACTCAAGAGGAGTTTGCAGTAAAATGTTTCTCCACCCATTTTCATTCTTTTACTCTTCATTCGAGTCTTGAATTATGTGAGTCTTTTGTTATGCTCCCTTTGATGTTGTTGTACAGAAATCTCAACCTGGGTTACCTTGATCTGTATCTGATTCACTGGCCTGTGAGTTCAAAGCCTGGGAAGTACAAGTTTCCCATCGATGAAGACGACTTTTTCCCCATGAATTTCAGGTCTGTATGGGCAGATATGGAAGAGTGTAAAAGACTTGGGCTGGCAAAATCTATTGGAGTCAGCAATTTCTCCTGCAAAAAATTGTCAGAGATTCTCTCCATAGCCAGCATTCCTCCGGCCGTTAATCAAGTGAGTAGTGCCCAATAAGTTTTACTAATCTATTTTAATTATTAATTCAAGCTGTCCCTTATGATTTCGAAAATTGATCAGCCAAACTTATTGTTTAAAAAAAGGTGGAGTTCAACCCGGTCTGGCAACAGAAGAAGCTGAGGGAGTTTTGCAGGGATAACGGAGTTCTTTTGACAGCTTATTCGGTTTTAGGATCTCGAGGAGCATTCTGGGGCAGCAACAGAGTTATGGAATCTGAAGTTCTGAAAGAAATAGCTGCAGCCAGAGGCAAGACTGTTGCTCAGGTGCCCACTATCGTCATCACCTAACCTTCTTTTCCTTTTTTGTTCTTTTTTTCCATCTTGGAAACTAATTAAAACCAGAGGTGAAACTTATAGAGCCAAGAAGTCTTGAAAATGATAATGAATATTTAATTGATTGTGTGAAAACAGGTGTGCCTGAGATGGGCATATGAGCAAGGGGTGAGCGTGTTGGTGAAGAGTTTCAACAAGGAGAGAATGAAGGAGAACATGGAGATATTTGACTGGTCGCTAAACGAGGAAGAGAAGAAGAAGATAAGTGAGATACCACAAGGAAGAATAGTTCTTGGGGAGCCTTATATCTCCAGAAAAGGCCCTATAAAGACAGTTGCAGAGATGTGGGATGGTGAAATTTAGTCTTTCTTTTCCTGAGGATCATTGTCGTTTTAACATATTTAAGTTCCGCATTGCTAGTCAAAAGAGGAAAAATGGAAGACATTATATAGTATGTATTTTTACTCTCTTGAACTTCTTAATCTTTGTATTTTATCTTTTATTTAAGGTTGTTGACACTAAATAAAATATAAAATTTATTAGTATACCCAAACCGTCAGTATAATGTTATTTGGGCAAAAATAGGTCCTCTTAGCAATTATTACTATTTTTTAAAATAAAAAATACTTAAATTCATATGCATTAACATAACAAAATATAAATAATTTCTCGATAATATACTTTTAAGAACATAATTCGATTCAATACAATATTTTTTTATTTAGGAAACAAACAAAAGAAAAAAAACGTATAAATCACTTCTACATAAATAACATATTGACAATTATCCATAAAAAACGTATTATTTATTCATTTAAAAGGTAATTAGTTTTCAACAACTGTGATTTGATATAAACCTTAGAAAACTTCTATATAAATTACCCATAATAAATTCAGTAACTCAAAGGTTTTAATCTACATAAATAGCATAATCAAAGGTCGTATTCTACATAAATAACATATATTTACACAGGGTAGACCGCGTGGAAAAGCAGGCCATGCATGCTCACCCTTCTCTGCTTCTTTTACAAAGACATCTTGGCAGCTTTATAAGTAACATGATGCAAACTCAGGCAGCAGCAATAATGCATCTAAGAAACTGAATAAAATACCATATAGATTGCTTCTGGACTTAACATCTTGCAGGCCTATTGTAAGTAGGAGGTAAGGATGGACAGTTCTCATTCATGTTTGCATATAGCTCTATGGTGTTATAATCTGGCAACTCCATCCTGTATTCACCAAGAATCTGGCAAAATGGGAGCCGACCATCTTCATTTTTGCACCAACTTGGCAAGCGTGTTTGGTTGTTCTCAAAAATCTTGAGCGTGTAAGCATCACGAATCTATGGGCAATAGTTAAGTGTCTTTTAGCCAATTGAACAAACGAGAAACTATATTATCTAGAACAGAAGACAATTAAAGAAACTTACAGTGAATTCAGTTACTTGAATATAGTTTGAGAGGAGGCCAAAGATTCCAGCCTCTTTATACATTTCAAGGATGAAAGCCACACAAGTTGTTGATTTTCCGTCACTGTATACCCATTCATCTTGTTCTGGAATGGTTAGTAATTGATCGAAGGCCAGGCCACGCTTTTCACACTCTGCTAGGATTCCATATAAGTCCAAATCCTGAGAAAACAGATCAATATAACAAAGTTGCTAAATGACATCCACACAAACGTCCCCCTCCATATTCCCTACTCCTTGACTCTATTAACAGAGAACTGGCTAAAGAAAAAAGACTGGAGGGGAAACTGATAAACAGCAAGTCTTTAGCCTCAGCAAAGTACCTCAGTTCCTAGACGTTTATTCAGTGCTTCATTCCACATATTTGCAGCATATGCTGGCTGCACTCTTGTCCACATGGACATGACAGAAATAACCTGCAGTTCAACTTCACTGGTTGAGTAAACTTATTTATGAAATTCCCCAAATTAGATTCTGTACTCAAAAAGCTGAATGATGACATGATCTGTAGCCAATTTCTTGAAATGCATAATCATATATATATATATATACACACACACATGTGGATGCGTGCATATGTATACATAACCATTAAAAATATAACACCTTTCTGAATCAACAAAAGACGTCTTTTCCACCTCACATTACCCACAGGCAACACAAGAAACCTACATAAGTGCATAAATTATGCATGATGAAACAAGCATGCACATACAAGAATTTTTTGCAGGAAAAAGACATCATATTAAATAGAGAAAAAGGGCACATCATGGAGGACTATTTCACCAAAAGAGGGGGGCGGGGGGAGAAAGAAGCTGGGATAACAGCAAAAATTTGAGAGAAAACAGCCTGCCAATTTCTATGTAAAATAGACAAAAACAAATCCTTAAAAAGCCCACGTATCTTGAACCAAAGAAAGCCGAAAAGTTATCTTTTCCCAGCAAAGCAAAGAAAGAGAACAGCAATCCTCAAAAATCCTAGCATTTCTCACCAGCCACATAACTATATGTGCATGCAAATGGATGCAAATATACAATAAATACACACCAAGAAAAAACAACACACATGCATGCATGCATAAGAATTATGAAACACAAGTTAATTTACACACGCACACAATCAACACACCCCTCCACAAGAAACATTGGTAGCAAAGCTCAAAATAAAAAAAATACCAACACCAAAAGTTACTAGTTACCAATACCAACACCGTCTGTGATCAATGTACCACAAATTTTTCGAACTGGTTCATGGTAAAGGTTCCATTGGGTTCATTTTGGTTCTTGAACCAGACATCTAAAACTACGGAACAAGATTTAGGAAGAAGTGGGGCAAGTTAAGAAATTGAGTGGACTAAGATTCTTTTTTGATGGCTACATAGACTAAGATTCTGAAGATTGAGAGAGATAAGGTAGGAAAAGAAACTGTTAAGAGTTTATGTTCCAACAAAAATTCTTTCAAATTTAGACTAGTTTAGAGTCAAAGAGAAGATCATAGGGGTCAAAATAGGGAACAAGAGTCTATTAACCAAAGTTTTTTTCTTGGAACTTCAAATATATCGACTACCTTCTTTTTAACTTATTATTTATTAACTCGCTCAGTAATTTGTAACACAAATATTGACATTCTTGTTCTACCTATTAAAAAGGACTGAAATCCTAGATCTATTCACATAGGAAAAAACAAGAAAATAAGACTGATGGAGGAAGAATGTTATTGCTTGTGATCAGGAAAAAAAAACTAACTGAATAGTGGTTCAATTGAACTTTGGGCCAAAATAACATACCCAGTCTACTCACATTGGACATAAATTTAGCATCTATCACGTCTGTATCCATACCACAGCCAGTGAGTATCATGTTTCAGGTTATTATGTTAGTATGCATCAATGTCTAGTCCCAAGTTCCAATAACCAAAACAAGCCAGTGTTTGAATATTTTGATTCCAACTCACGAATTTCAATCCAAATGCATATTTGGGAATGCATAATTAGGGTGTTCTAATACAGAACAATTAGAAAATAAGTTTACATACCAAGTGAGCATCAAGAGGTGGTGGATAGTTGTCAGCAATGGTGTCAATCCAACTAAATATCATGTTGTGATAACCATATGGCTTGCCTGACATGCTCCGGGCATACTTCCATGCTGCAGAGGAGTTGAATTTTGCACGTATATCAGGATGTAACGGAAGCAAAGCTATATGAGGGTTAGAACCGTCCTTCAGTGCCAGTTCCCACCACTCATCCCATGGAATGATGACAATAATTTCTTCCCCCTGAATGGATTCGTATGGAGAACATATAATAAAGACAAAAAACATAATGAGTTACACGGAAAATTCACTTTGTCCAGAAAAAGTAACCATTCAATTGAATACATGTATGATTACTCCATAAATGCCAATTAGTTATGCTCTAAATTGTGTGTTTTATAATTTTACATCTTCAGAAATACATTCCAGAAGTAAAGTCCACTGGTTTAGTATCTTACATTCCAAAAAACTCCTCATTATCCTTCTCAACTCTTAGTTACCAAGATATATCTGCATTCTATGTTTTCTCCACAGGTTATTGTCATCCTCGTATGAATATTCAAGTCTTGAAGCCAACCGTCAAAGTTATCAAAGTTTACCACACTTCTTAGGTAGACAAATAAGATTCTCTTTCTTCGCTAGGTCTAGGCTTTTAGAGCGTGACAAAAGGCTTCAAACAGCACTTGATGAAGGAATCCTTATGTGGGGTATGTATGAGAGAGAGAGAGAGAGAGAGAGAGAGAGAGCGAGAGGTGAACTTTCATACTGGTAATCAAGAATATGAACTTTAAAAAATTGACTAAAAATCAACAAGGAAAATTCCAATATTAGATAAAGCATAGAAGCATCAATATAGCATCCTGCATTAAGTTTTTTAAATTAAGCAGGAAAAAAAATCTTCCCATTAGTAAAACCAAAAGATGGTAATTAAAAAAAAAGGGCAGCAAAATAACATAAACAAAGAGCACTGGTAAGGCAAACATGATATTGGACCATCAATCACGAGGCCATCGTATGCATTGGACCAGTAGTATAAATAAGTGATAATCAAATAGATAATCTCTAATATTTAACACTGTGTTTCAGATGCCAATGTGCAAACTTTGCTTCAAAATGTCACATACCTTTTCATTCTCGTGTCCTGATTCACCAACCCAGAGATTACCCATTTCATCTTTCAAGCAAACCGCAGTATGACCAGCAAATGCACCCGTCACCCATTTCTCCAAAGTCTCAAATCCACCCCAACGACCACGTATCTTAGACACAGCTAAAAAATCACCAGAATGCACATCTTCAGGATTTATTGTTACACGCCAAGGTTGAGGGCGTTTCTCAAATGTTGCACCCATGTGCTTCGTCAAGAAAGCTAAGTTCGCATTCTGGCCCCAGGCAGTGTTAGAAAACAAAGGCAAGACATCAATTGATGATAAAAGGGTGCCAAGCATTCCTGAAGGCATGAGAAATACAGAGATTCCATGCTGCTTTACCTGCTCAATAGTGAAAGTGTTACTCCCACACAATGGAACTGTGAGCAATGGTATGTAAGTGTGAAAAAAGAAAGTGAAACATACATATTCCATCTCGGCAGGTTCTTCCCAGGAATCAATTTTTAGTGTGTGCTCTCTAGCAGAGAAATAGTAATCCCATGTAACCCTATATGGTGTTGCAAAAACATACAGATCCATACAGGTCCAGCTATGGGCATCGGATGTCTGCAAAAATGCATCTTATTATTTACGAAAAAATAAAATGAAAAAGAACGTAAATCTAATCACTGTAGAAATAAAACAAGTAGAAGATCAACAAAAGAAAAAGAACTTCCAATCACAATCAGGTTACATTTTATCTTCTCTTTATTTCTCCACGACGAAATTACTGAACACTTTCCATATTTATATCATCTTAGCATGCCACGTGAACTTCGTAAAAATTTTGACCTTAGGTCAGAACTCTATAGATAACTCTGAGAGTGGGTCATGAGAAGGCTTTCTTTGCTCTAAATCCATGAAGAAACAAAAGACTTACCAGAAAAGGAAATGACAGAGGAATACAACCAATGAATGAACGCGTCGGAGTACGTTGTATTGGATGGACGAAAATCAAGATGGGAACTCTTAAGTACTAATATAAGTAGAAATTTCAAAGAGAGTTTTTTTAAGAGAAAAAAAAACAAAAACAAAAAGAACAATCAACAGCACAATTGAGACGCCATGACAATGTGAAATTACTATTCAGAAAAATATTCTAACGGTTTAAAGGATATTCAACTATAATCAATTCGAAGGAAATAACGCATACCGTGAGATGGAGAACGCCGCCTCCCAGCCCAGGATCGTCGCGATCGCCTTCGGTAAACTCGAGACGAGCCTCGTTATCAAAAAAGCAAGCTCCTTTCCACTGAACCGACCCATTGTTTGGTGTCACCGAGCCAACAAAGGACGGCAACAAATCGACGGCACTATGGAAATTGTTCAAAACCGGCCAAGAAATCTGGTGTGGCAACACGGGAAGCACATCATTAATCCTGAACGGAACTTTCAAAGCTCGGACGAGGTCAACACCAAACCCTAACCCTGAAAAGCATAAAAATAATAGAAACGAAAGTGAATAGGGAGAGGATCGAGTCATGGATAGGGCTTTACTTCCTCTATTTTCTCCAAAAGTTGCAACTTTCGGGAAGAAATTCGAGTTGCAGAAATAAATTTGAAAGGAAAAAGAAATTTGGGAATTATAGCATCAACTTAGGGGCGATTACGAGGACGATCCATGTGGAGTTCGGGTTGGATTGCGGGAGAGACAAGAGAAAAGGGGCTTGCTCAGTTTTACAAATCCAAAAAATAAAGTATAAAAAGAAAAAAAAAAGAAAGAAAAACAGAAACTTGGTTAATTTTGACTGGGAGTTCGGGAGGAGGAGTTGATAACGAGGAGGATGATTTTTCATTCCACGGCGACGACACTGCCGCTAATTTGTCTGGTTTACTTAAACGGTGACGTTTTTTGACGTTTAACGATTTCCGACATTTCGGATAAAAGGTCTTGGTTAGGGGTACAGTTCAATTTATTGTTAAAATTTAGCTATTTACAATTTTACAGGTAACTACAATTATTATTATATCTTTGCTAATATTTATTAGAATAAATCATTAAATTATTTCTTTTTACTACTTGCTATAATTTTGTCTGTAAATTTTTTATTATGAGTATAAATCATGTTGGAATATTTAGAAATAACTCGAAAATAATTTTTATTAATTATTTAGATGGATAAATTAATAAAAATATTATGTTTCTTTTCTATTTTTATTGAGTTATTAATTTAATTAATTAATTAAAATAGTTTTTTAATTTTTTCTTAAAGCATTTAAATATAATCTAATGATTTTAATTTTTTTATTATAGAAAAGACAAAAACTAAGCATCTAAAATAAATAAAAAATATTAGAAACTAAATTATAATAAATATCAAATTTCAATAATTAGTATGGTAATTTATCTTATTTATTACTAATTTTCAATAAACAAAATTTAGTATTAACTATTCAATAAATAAAAATTACTTATAATTAATTATAAAAACGGATTGAAACATAACTAACAAATTTTTGACTTTTTTCTTCATCATGTAAAAAATTAATTAAAATTTTTAACTGTTTATATCTACTGCAATTAAGAGAATCTAGTTGTAATAAATAAGACATTATAAATTCACTTAAACTTAAGCCTATTTGGTTAAGTAGTTATATCAATATATTAATGAACTAATTCATCAATTTTGTTGAATCAAATATCATAAAATGATCACTTTTAGTTTATAATATACACGCAAAGTAATAAGTTTTACACTCTCAAATATATTACAATATATAACTTTCAAATAAAATATAAAAATTTTATTCACTAAATTTTTAACTTAATATACGGTCTAATCCATTAAGAATTGGTGAGCAATAATTTATTTCAACAACTCAAAGTGAGCTAGATATGTTTTTATGTGTTGGGCTCATACATAAAGCACACTTTACTTTGAGTGCTACAAGCTATGCATGGATGATTTGGTTACTATATATATATGCATAAAGTATATCTCTTTATTTAACATTGCATTGAGAGTTATTTTACACATTTATTGTAACATCTCAAACCCAAAAATTAAACTCGAAATGATAAAATTTAATTTTTTTTAAATAATAATAATGTGTAGGGTTTAATTGTAATTATTATTTTTTAAATATATGTATTTTGAACGTTTTGAAAATAATTCTAGAAAGCAGTGTCAAACTGAAAATAAAGAATGACATGTTTGAAATCAAACTCAAAAAAGAGGAGTTAATTCACAAAAAAAAAAAAGAAACATACCATGTGGACGCCTAGTCAGTGGCACGACAAATCGCTGCTCGTCGCGTGACAGACACACTAACACAGGCTCCACGCTGGCAATCCGCGTGTTAGGCCGATCGAACAACTCAGGACCATTCTCGCGCACGCGACCAACCCGGATTGATTCTTTAAATAGGCTCGATCGAACGGTCCACATGTCTCAAATCGAACGGTCAGAATGCATTCTCCAAATAGGTTCGATTAAACAGTCTCTGTTGCGCCACGTAGACCTGCACGGATGGCCCTAATTGAAGAAGAAGAGGTATTTAAACCTCTCTTACTCTATTGCCCAAAACCCTAGTTGATGCACTGGCCAAAGAAGCAAAATAGGGGTAGCTGGAGAGGAGCTCATCCATCGGAGAGACACCAACGCCACCGTGCCGGAAACTTAAAATGCGCCGATAAGCCCAAATTTCCTTCTTGTTCTTCATGTTTCTCTGCCCTTAGCCACCTAACACATTTTCAATGCAAGGTGACTAAGAAAATTCGTAAACTGCAAGGGAGAGATGATGAAGCTCACCTAAGCCGTCGCACCAGAGGACCAAAACCACCAGTAAGACCCTATTTTTTCCCTCCTCTCTTCAGAAAACATCTCCTAACCATGATTTAAGCAAATTTCCACTAAGAACTGTCCAAAAACAAATAGCAGCACTGGAGAAGGAGGACCAGGCGACGAAGTATGGCAGCACCGCCGCGCCAGAACCCCAACCCGACCCCCAATGAAAATTTTTGTCTTTTTTATCATTCCTTGCATATTTTCACGCCATTTTGATTTATATTTTAAAAAAAAAAATTACCAAAAAAACTTAAAAAAAAATCCAAGAACTGGAATCAGTCGAGAACTGTAGTAAAAAAAGCAGTGTCCTAAACACTGACTCAATATATGAATCTCTCTTTTTTTTCTGTTACGGTAAATTAAAGTTTAAACGATAATAAACAGCAGTTCTAAACCGTTTTTGTGATTCATTGATGATTAAATACAGGTTGTCAACGGAGCTAGTGAATCGATTTAGTTTTTTGTCTGTTATTAATTTTATTTTACTTATCATTCTCTATTTTCATTTATACCTTTACTTGTGAGTTCGTTTTCTTTACTTAATTATCTTTCTATTTATTTATCAATTATTTATTTCTATTTCATTAATTTATTTTGTTCTGTTGTTTTATGTTATTTTGCCCTAATTTATTCCCTTCCACTTCATCCTAATATTCTATTTTATTCTATATACGCTTTATTTTATTCATTTGACCTATTTATTTACGTGAAAAATTTCTATCTTATTTTGCCACCATGTTCCACTCTTGATTACGACTTTATCTTTATTGGTTACCAAAACATGAATTACGCACTCCTTTTTAATTTAATGAATGGTCTCATGATTGTTGATTGCTTGAATAACAGTGAAACATATATATGCATAAAATTTGGACGTGAATCGAATGCCTACCAAGTATCATGGGAAAGAGCGTATGGACTTAGTATATAGTGTGAACCCTACAGTAAATGTTATCCTCAACTGTATGGGGTTGGGAAGTCTCATATAGGTCAGAGTTAGAAAATAGTTAATTTCGCTCATACATGATGGAGTATTAAGACGGTATTAGTATGTGGTGTCTATTACCAGACGGGAGTATAGGGACGACCAATGATTTACAAGGGAAGTGTTATATACCAACGCGTAGCGGGAATCCTTATAGCCCCTCAGCGATACCGATAGTAAAAATAATAAAGGTAATATAATGAAAATGAAGATAGTAAGTAACTCTAATTTGGGTAAAATAATAAAGAACCTAAGGTTATATATATATTGAATTGCATGTTTACTATGATTCAATTATGATTCTGATTTTATCTTTGTGTATGTGTTTGGAAGACTGTTAGTAGGAGAAGGAAATGATAATATTTTCAGTAAAAATTGATAAGGTATACATTAACATTCGTGTATCATAAAAAAAATACTCGCCATCGGTTATTTTATGTTTTCTACAACTCTTTGATTTTCTGTGTCAGTGTTAAGACGTTGATATTCTTACTGAGCTAGTATAGCTCACTCATTCTTATTAATCATTTCAGATTATAACGACCAAAATCTGGATTCTGAACAACAAGAGAGTAGCTAATAATTACTTCTTCCACTTCATCAATTTCGAATAGAGGTTAATCATAACTATTATTAATGTTTTTTATATTTTGAATTCCAAAGTATTCCTATAGCCCCTATTTGGACGTTTTAAGTAAACGTATAAGGAATGTAATATTTAAGCTTTTTAACTCTTCCGTTAAATAAAAAATTTTAGTATTATTTACATTATTATTACTATCCTAAATGGTCAAAATTTCTTATAGGAGTTTGAACTTTTACATTTACTTCAATCTTACATGTGATAAATTATTTTGACCACTTATCAAAAACTTCATCCTTATCCTAAAAAAAAAAATGAAGCAAAAAGTAAGAAAAATAATGACTAGAAATAAATAACAAAAATTAGCTATATCTAACAAATAATAACCAGGTGTTATTATCTTTTAAATTTAAAAATAGACAAAAATTTCATAAATCACCCCCAGTAAAATACTAAAAGATTGGTTAACAAAGAGTTTCTTTTCGTGGTCTTCTAAATTCTCAAGAATAAATTTCATATGTATGGGTAAATAACTTTAGCGTCATATATTCTTAATTTAATTTTATAAATTTAACTATAAAGAAAATTCTCATTTGATAATTCCCAAGTTATCAAGCTGCTCACTTTTAAAATTATTTTTCTTGACAAATAATTTAATTGAGAATAATTAAATAATATGATTTAAAAATTATTAAATAATTACGACACCAATGATAATAACTATATAAAAAGTCAATAATAGCCCATGTAGGTGGTCCAACATATCTACAGCATAAACAGTTTAATGAGAATTATCACCACCTTGTTTTACATCACATTCAAGAAACTGGAAATTCAAACCTCAAGCTTCACATTCTACTTCATGATCAACTATCTGCTTCAACAATCAGAAAACAATTCAATAATAATGTTCATAATTTAAGTTTTGGTAACGGTATCCTCGAAACAACTCATGTACGAACCCAGATTTCTCAAAAACTAAAAATAAAAAAGAGAAGGTTGATTTCTCAAAAACATTTCCATGGTCCTATTATAAAAGAAGTAGTAGGCAGGAGACCAGAGTGCTGGTTGATTTCTCACTGAAGGGAGTAACAAGGCACTGTCTTCCACCACCATTGGCTGCCTGAATGGATTTAATTGAATCTTAAATAATATGGCCCCAGTTAGCATGTAGTTGACACCAATGTGAAAACTGAGAACCACATAAGGAAGAAAGTGCAAGCGCACAGGTAAACTTAGAAGATGGCCAATTACAATGGTTATGCAACCAACTACAAGATGACACGCTTCTTCACAATAATCAGAAAATACAGTTGGGATATTTATGTCCTTTATTAGCTCTTGAAATAAAAAGCAAAGTTAAGATTATTCCGGGGATTCCCAAGCAGTTTTCAAAGTAGTGAATGGAAGAATCAAGAGTGAATCCTGCATTCACATGCAAAAAAATGTGGG